CCCGGGCCAGCATAGCTTACTTACTCTCTTGTCATCCCTTCCTCTGCAACCTCTCTCCGCTTTAGCTGGTAAGAGTGAAAAAAAGAAACAGACATGGCTGGCTGGGGAATTCTGGGAGCTTGAAGTCCGCTAGGCTTAAAGTGGCCAAGGTTGGAGACCCTTGATCTAGGTCAACCGACATTATTCCTCTTAAAGACCTTTCAGACGAACAGGGGGAAAAGTGTGAGTTTGTGTGTATGCGTATATGTGTGCGCTCTCACGCACGGATCCTTTTTTAAGAGGCTGGGAAGGGGCTGTGGTCCTCTCAGACTCCTGCAGCACGCACGTGCGCGCGCACACACACACACACACCAAAATCCAGGTGTGCCATTCTGGTTATCAGCTCCCGTTTCCCCACTAACATTGTCCCGAGATTTAAAAGGAGAAGTTTTTAATACTTTGTGCTCCCTTTCTGGCTCTTCAGATGAAACAAGAATGAAATTTAGCAAAGGGAAGAAAAAAAAAATAGAAGAGAATTTGAGGCGAGGATTCGGGAAATTAAGAAAAATTAAAAAGACAAGACCAGACAAAACAAAACAACGGCCTTATCCGGCACACAGCAACCGATACGGCAAGTCAACCAAGGCAGGAGGGTTGGGGTTTTTTTTCCCCCTTTTACGCGTGTGGCCGGATCCTGTTGGGGAATTCAGCCTCCGGAAAGCCCATCCTCGGCTTCTCCCCCGTGGATGGAGCAAAGCCCTTGCAGGCATATACCCCTCTGCCTTTCCGTAGAAAGGAAAATTCCCCTCCGTTGGGCATCTGAGTTGGTTCCCAGGAGCCAAACCTCGTTCGCTCGAGTCCAGCAGAAGGAGAGAAAGAAACGTCGCTTTCCGCAGGCCGAAAAGGCCTTTCCGTGGCTTGAGCTTCGGAGCGTCGGGAAGAGCGTCCAGCTCTGTGGCTGGTCAGTTCAGTTCTTTTGGAAGCGCAGGCCGGCACGTGGCGACCCCCGCAGCTTCTTGGCTGTCACGTGGCTGCCCCGACCGTGTCGTCCTCCTCCTCCTCCGGTTCGTAGTCGGACAGGTCGGCTTCCAGGCTCTGCTTGGCCAGGAGCTCCCGGCGAGCTTGCAAGCGGGCGCACTTGGGGCAGGGTCCTGACCGGAAGCAGCCCTTGTGGTAGCAAGCTCGGCACTCTGTGGGAGGGGGGGAGAGAGAGAAAACGAAGGAATTAAGAGGAGCCGAAAAAGGCATGGCGGGGCAAGGAGTCCCAAACAACCCGCGTTCACTGTCATGCCCTTGTTGGAGTCGGATTCTGAGGGGAAATTGAGGAGCTGACGGGGAGTGGGAGTGCGGCTCTGGTGGCTGTGGAGGAAACTGGGGAAGGGCACAGTCCGGCTGGGCATTCAGAGGAAGACCTAGGCCCACCCTCTCTTCATCCTAAGGCACGCAGGGAGGAACGGAGAAGGGAGCAACATGGCTTACTGGGGAGGAAAGGGCTCTGATCCCCTTCATGGGCTGCAGCTGGGAGGACTGTTTAAAAGGGCAAACTGTGCATGGCAAAGTTGCTGGAAACAAAGCAAGGCTTATTTGGGCTTTGGCGTCCTTCCAACTGTGTGTGCTTCGCTCTCTTTTGGAAGTCTGCGAGTTATTATCCTGGTCTGTCGTGTTAATTACTTCAGCGTGGTTTGTGTTGGGGTTATTTTTATTTCAAATTATCTTTACTTTGGATTCGGACTGCATTTCTTCCCTTCGCAGACTGTTTTTTGGAAGAGTTTGATCTCCCACCAAGGATAACTGGACGTTGGGGGCCAAGTTGGAGGCATTAAAGGGAATTTAACTACTTTGGCGACTTTGTTATTTTTGTGCCACGACCCGGGTCATCACATTCACATTCATATTTTACATGGGTAAAATACAAAACATACTGTGTTTCTCCCAAAATAAGACACTGTCTTAATTTTTTTTTGCCACCAAAAAAGGGCACCGGGTCTTATTTTCGGGGGAAGTCATCCACTGACTAACCTCATTTGTATGGGTCACCCACGGCCTCCTTTTCGCTGTCAGAGGCCTTCAAGAATTAATTCTACAGCCGGCAAGGCTTTCCTGAAGGCCTCTGCAGCCGGTAACAGAGCTCTGGATCGATCCTGAGCTTTGTTCTCAGCTCCAGAGGCCTTCAGGAAAACCTTGTCAGCCTTGCCGGCTGCAGAAAAAATGGACCAGCAAGGCAGTTGTCAGGGTGTGTGAGATCTGGCTACAACTGTCCAAAGGTAAGTAGTAGGGCAGCTCCACCGTGCAACCGCTTCACATTTACAACGGTTGCCGTATCCCAGGGTCACACAATCCCCTTTTGCGACGTTCTGGCAAGCAAAGTTTAGTTTACTTTATTGTCGTTGCACCTCGTACAACGAAATCAAACACCATCTTCAGTGCACATCATGACTATGAAAATAAACACAAACACACATTCTACACACTCCACCTATTGAATTGAAGACTACCGACACCACACCAACACTGCCCTATACAGTAGAATTCAAAAGAGCTCCTGCCCTGGGATAGAAGCTGTTTTTCAGCCTGTTTGTCCTTGTTTTTATTATTATCCTGTACCGTCTGCCAGGTGGTCATAGTTCAAAAAAAGGGGTTCCCAGGATGAGATGGATCTTTGAGGATGTTTTGAACTTTCTTAAGGCAGCGGGAGCTCTAAAGCTCTTCCAAAGAGGGGAGAGGGCAGCCAATGATCTTCTGGGCAATGATGTTAACCCTCTGGAGCGCTGTCCTATCTGCCCCTGTGCAATTGGCAAACCATACAGAGGTGCAATGAGTTAAGATACTCTCTATGGTGCAGCGGTAGAAGGTCACCAGCAGTTTTGCATTCAGTTGTTTGTTTCCTGAGAAGCCTCAGGTAATATAATCTCTGCTGGGCCCTTTTGACCAGGGCTGCCATGTGAGCCCCCCCAGGTCAGGTCCTCTTTTAGGGTAACACCCAGAAACTTAAAACTGGCCACTTGCTCCCCTCGGTCTCCCTGGATAAACAAGGGCTGGAGGTCTGACCTGTTCCTTCTATATAGTCCACTATAAGCTCTTGGACTTATTGGTGTTGAGGACCAAGTTATTGTCCCCACACCACGAAAGCAACCGTTGGTCCACCTCATTCCCCCTTGGAGAAGTTAATGGGGAAGTCAGATTCACTTAACAACGGTGTTACTAATTTAAGAACCGCAGTGTGATTCACTTCACAAACGTGGCGAGAAAAGCCGTACAATGGGACAAAACTCAGCACCATAAATCCCGGGCTCAATTGCGGCCGTAAGCCGAGGACTACCTAAACGTGCTACACTGAAGAGAGCTCGGCTGGTACCGACCGATGGAGAAATTTGTACAGGGCTGGAAAATCGGAGAGCTGCGTTGAAGCCAACAACCGAGGGTTGTCGTTGCGTCCTTCTGTCTGGACGCAGTGCGAAACAATGCCGGGGGTTGCGTGGGGTCTTTCTTTGGCCCCCGAATGAACTTACAACCTAAACGTAAACGTCGCTGGGGGATTAGCTCTCCCGTTTGACGGCTCACCTTCGCAGGTCTTGCATTTGTTCAGCTGGAAGGGAAACAGGATGTCGTCTTCATTCTGGCAGAATTCGCAGATGAAGCCCTTCGCTTGGCACAGCTGGGCGAGAAAATTAAAACAACAACACGGACTGTCAGGATTGAACCACTTTGTGTCAGCATTCCAGCAAACCTTCATTTCGGTCAGTAACTCCGAGACAAGCATCGTCTCAAAAGTACCTTTATTAAAATAGCACCTGGCACACCTGTGGAAGCTCGAAACTAAAAGTTTCCCGGACTTCCCACAATGTCCCAAACTACAATCCCTCCCCTTTTCTCCCATCATCATATCACATGGACCGATCGTGATCTGTCCCGGTGTCAGATCCTTTCTCTCTGCTGATTAGCAAAGTTGAAAAAGGACCTTTTAGGTCATCTAGTCCAACCCCCCCCTGCCCAAGGAGGAGACTACATCAATTCTGACAGATGGCCGTCCAATCTCTTCTTGAAAGCCTCCAGGGATGAAGCTCCCACAACTTCCGAGGGCAACTTCTGTTCCACTGAATATAGATTAACAGAGTTGGAAGGGACCTTGTAGGTCATCCAGTCCAACCCCCTGCCCAAACAGACCCTCCACCATTTCTGACAGATGGCAGTCCAGTCTCTTCTTGAAAGCCTCCAGGGATGAAGCTCCCACAACTTCCGAGGGCAATTTCTGTTCCATGGGTTGATTGTTCTCACTATCAGATATTTTCTCCTTATTTCCAGGTTGAATCTCTCCTTGTTCAGTTTCCATCCATGATTCCTTGTCTGGTCTTGGAAAATCGCTTGACCCCCTTCCTCCTCCTCTCTGGGGCAGCCCCTCAAATATTGGAAGGCTGCTCTCCTGTCTCCCCTGGTCCTTTTATTCATTAAAATCAGATTAAAGTCAGATTAACAGAGTTGGAAGGGACCTTGTAGATCATCTAGTCTAACCCCCCTCCCTCAAATATTGGAAGGCTGCTCTCCTGTCTCCCCTGGTCCTTCTCTTCCCTAGACTAGCCAGGCCCAGTTCCTGCAACCGTTCTTCATATGTTTTAAGCCTCCAGTCCCCTAATCATCTTTGTTGCTCTTCTCTGCACTCTTTCTAGAGCCTCAACATCTTTTTTATAATGTGGGGACCAAGTCTGGACGCAGGACGCCAGCTGTGGCCTTACTAAGGCTTTACAGGGTGGCGTTAGAAGGAAGGAAGGAAGGAAATCGGCTCCACGCACTCACCATGCATTTCTCAACGTGCAGCTCTCCCACCCGGAGGAGCTCGGTCAAGCGGGGTAGAAGCTCCCCCTTCTTGATGGCGCTTAGGTCGTTTAAGGAATAAAGGTGAAGGTCTTCGGTCAGGTGGCCCGGCACCGTGTCGAAGGTATCCAGAAGTCTGCGGGGGGGGGGAGGAGGGAATAGCAGCCATGCGCTCAGCAACGGGAGGACGATGCCTCTCCTTCTCAGACATCTTGGATTGTCAAAGACAATCAAGAAATACAGTACAATCCTGATACACCAGCACACGGACAGATGTGTCCCCACTGCCAGCACTCACTCATGCAAACATACAGGCAGACAGTTGGCAATTGTGATCCCAAATAATCTGGTTATCTATCTATCTATCATCTATCTATCTTCTATGATCTATCTTCTATCATCTATCTATAATCTCTCATCTATCTATCTATATCATCTCTCTCATCTATTATCTATCATCTGTCTGTCTGTCTGTGTATCTACCTATCTATCTAATCTATCTATCTATCCATCCATCCTTCCTTCCATCCATCCATCCATCTATCATCTATCTATCTTCTATCATCTATCTATAATCTCTCATCTATCTATATCATCTCTCTCATCTATTATCTATCATCTATCTGTCTGTCTGTCTATCTATCTATCTATCTATCTATCTATCTATCTATCTATCTATCTATCTATCTATCATCTACCTATAATCTCTCATCTATCTATATCATCTCTCTCATCTATTATCTATCATCCATCTGTCTGTCTGTCTGTCTGTCTGTCTGTCTATCTATCTATCTATCTATCTATCTATCTATCTATCTATCTATCTATCATCTACCTATAATCTCTCATGTATCTTCTATTTATCATCTATCTATAATCTCTCATCTATCTCTCATCTATCTATATCTATCATCTCTCTCTCATCTTATTATTTATCATCTATCATCTATCATCTATCAACTATCTGTCTGTCTATCTATCTATCTATCTATCTATCTATCTATCATCTATCTATCTATCTATCTATCTATCTATCTATCTATCTCTAGATGATAATCTCTCATTTATCTATAACTATATCTATCATCTCCCTCTCATCTCTCACCTCTCTATCATCTACCTATAACTATCTATCTATATCTAGGTGATAATCTCTTTCTTATCTATCTATCTATCTATCTATCTATCTATCTATCTATCTATCTATCTATCTATCTATCCATCCATCCATCCATCCATCCATCCATCCATCCATCCATCCATCTATCTATCTATCATATTTAAGCACCACCCATCTCCCTCACTGAGGAACTCTGGGCTCTGTACAAATAAAATATTAAAAGCATGCAAACAGTATACAAAATTTAAATCTTATGTCTCTCATTAACCTCTCCCAAAATTTAAATTTAAATTGTGAGGCTCCACTCACCAGGTCTTAGAGAGACCTTACTTTAAAGTTATGAGATCGAATAATAGGATGGTATCTCAGGAAAAGTTGCCAATCTTTGATTTCATTCCAGACTTACAATGGACCCCTAAATAGGGACTTACAACCTGGTTTTAAAGTTTTGACTTCAATCAACCCTCATGTTGACATGATTGTGTTTTGGGAACTTGGAACCTGGCCCGTAATTATGACAGCCCTCTCTTCCTCTTCTCCACAAATCCCACTCCCTCCTAACATCGATGATGTTACCTAGTTGGGTCATGAAATGTCTGCGGGAAAACCACTGAGCTCAGAGAGTACCAAAGGCCCCTCAGTTCAACCCTGAGCTGCAAATATTCTCTTCTGTCAGAAATAAAACTACAGATTGTTTGTGATAGTATTGTCCAGATATAACTGGATCATAAATCTGTATGAGGACGTTACATTTCCCGACATTCCTGAAAGTGGAATTTGCCTTTTCTCACCGCTTTCTCACACCTGCGAGAAAACAACCAAGCTGCACACTCAGCCATCATCTCCACTGTGCCATCGGCTGTGGCACCAACTCCCTGCTACTCACAGCTTACTCTCACTCTACGGTGATGATGGGACTCTCCAAAAACGTTTCCCGGAATCCTTACCCTTTAGCTAGGCGACACGTTTTGAACATGTTCTTCATGTGGTAGAGCTGGATCCTTAAAAGCTGGAAGAGACCAAGGAGACGTGATTTAGGGGGAAACAAGAGTGGGAAGGGGCCTTGGAGGTCTTCTAGTCCAACCCCCTGCACAAGCAGGAGATCCTATGCCATTTTGTAATGTGTCGACGACCAAAACTGGATGCCGTATCCCAGGTGTCTTCTTACCAAGGCTTTATAAAGCGGTGTTAATGCTTCACGTGGCATTGAACAGGAATTTAACAGATGGACAGAGTTGGAAGGGACCTTGCAGGTCATCTAGTCCAACCCTCCGCCCGAGGCGGAGCCCCTGCACTGTTTCTGACAGATGCCAGTCCAGTCTCTTCCTGAAAGCTTCCAGTGATGAAACTCCCACAACTATTGAAGGCCGGTCCTTCCGCTGATTAGAAGAACAGATTAACAGAGTTGGAGGGACCATGGAGGTCATCAAGTCCACCCCCCCCCATCCAAGCAGGAGACTCTACACCATTCCAGACAAATGGCTGTCCGATCTCTTCTTAAAAACCTCCAGTATTGGAGCACCCACCACTTCTGGTGGCAAGTTGTTCCCCTGGTTAATTGTTCTCACTGTCAGGAAGTTTTGCCTAAATTCCAGGTTGCTTCTCTCCTTGATGAGTTTCCACCCGTTGCTTCTCGTCCTGCCTTCAGGGGCCTTGGAGAAGAGGTTTACCTCCCTCTTCTTCGGGGCAGCTCCTCAAATATTGGAGCGCTGCTATCATGTCACCCCTGGTCCTTCTCTTCATTAAACTAGACACACCCAATTCCTGCAAGCCTTCTTCATATGTTTGAGCTTCCAGCTCCAGAATCAACAAACTAACAAAACCATCCTGCGTGGTTTTTCCACTTGGTGACCATTTTAGAGGAATCAGGGAGGGGGATCTCCAGATCAAACTATCCTCCAAAGCCCCTGAAGGACAGGAAGCCATGGGTGGAAACTAACCAAGGAGGAGAAGCAACCTGGAATGAAGGAGAAAGTGGCTGACAGTGAGGACAATGAACCAGGGGAACAGCTTGTCACCAGAAGTTGTGGGGGCTTCGTCACTGGAGGCTTTGAAGAAAAAGATTGGACAACCATTTGTATGAAATGGCGTAGGGTTTCCTGCCTGAACAGGAAGTAGAAGACCTCCAAGGTCTCTTCCAATTCTGTTATTCTGTTAACGGCTGCAAAAACAGGGTATGTCTAGTCTAGAGCAGTGGTCCCCAACCACCGGGTCCCGGACCGGTACCGGTCCGTGGATCATTTTGTACCAGGCCTCCTATTTTGCTTGGGCGCCGCCATCTTGTTTCGACGGCGCCTGAGTAAGTGCTTCCGGGTGAGCTTGTCGGTCGTCGAAAGCGGCGTTTTGGGTGCTGAAGGAATCCTCGCGCCTTAAGTTTCGTCGAAAGGGGTGGGAGGGGGGCGGCTTCGAACGAAGAGCCGTCCCGATGGCGGTGGAGTCTCGCGTTACTCAGGAGGAGATTAAGAAAGAGCCCGAAAAGCCCATCGACCGCGAGAAGGTACGAAGGAGGAGTTGAAGGTGGCGGGGAGAAACGGGGGACGGCTGGCTGGCTGGCCGGTCGTTCGGCTCGCTTTGCCTTGGTCGTGTGTGCGGATGGCGGTACCGGTCCGTGGATCGTATTGTACATTTTGTACCGGGCCGTGGGACAAAAAAGACTGGGGGCCACTGGTCTAGAGAAAAGAACAACTAGGGGGGGTGACATGATAGCACCTTCCAATATGTGAGGGGGCTGCCCCAAAGAAGAGGAAGGGGTCAACCTATTTTCCAAAGCACCAGAAGGCAGGACGAAGAAGCAACGGGTGGAAACCAATCAAGGAGAGAAGCAACCTGGAATTTAGGCAAAACTTCCTGACAGTGAGAACAATTAACCAGGGGAACAGCTTGCCACCAGAAGCTGTGTTAGAAATAGACAACTATTTGTAGGAAATGAGATAGGGTTTCCAGCTTGAGAAGGGTGGTGGTGGACTAGAAGACCTCCAAAGTCCCTTCCGACGCTGTTACGCTATTATTCTGACCCAAAGCGTGACTCCAAGCCCCCGGTGCCTGCTTACCCTGACTTGGTTGAGAGGTTTGACCTTGCGGTAGAGGGCAGAGTTAACGTCCTGCATGTTGAAGAGAGGGTCGTTCCAGATCTTGTGCAGCAGGTCCTTGGAGAAATTGCTGACGTAGTACTTGCCAAAGTCCCACCTGCAAAGGATGCGGCTGGGAATGACCATCTGGGCATTCTCGTGGCAGCACTGGCAGAAGTATTTGCCCAGGTACTCACAGTAGCGCATCCGCTTGATGTAATCTGGAAGGCCCGTCCGACGAAGGAAGAGAGGAAGGGGGATTTAAGAGAGGGTGAGCGTTTCGACTCCGAAGGTCCGTAAACGCTGAGGACCAAACTCAGAACGTTCTAGAATCGAGGCAGAAAGCTCTGGCACTAAGAGATCTGCCCACCTAGGTGCGACTCCCGTTTCTACAGGTAGTCTTCAACTTATGGTTATTATTTTTTTCTTTAACATCCACAGTGTTTAGTGTGTTATCTGGGTCAGTATATTTTGAATACAATTCTGACAGTGATATCACCATTTAAATATACATAGACGTACTTTTTCAACCTCCAACATTTGCGTATATAGATAAGTAATCATAATATATTCTGTTACATTTCAGTTTACATAATATTGTTTTCCCAATTTCTACTTTCTACTTCTTTTTCTAACATTAAGAATAACCACCACGTTAAAAAGCATTCTATGTCTATCTATCATTTCTCGCCCTTTTTAAAATTCCAACACTCATTAGCTTTTTCGTATATCTGTCCTGCTTCTCCTCTGGAATCTTGTAACCCCTTTTTTGTCATTTTTAGTTTAGTCTAAATAAATATTTAGTGGGGTCTGGGACCTTATTGGAATGGGAAGGCAGAGGTTGCTGTTCCACCCCTCACAGGGCTCCGAGGAAAGTCGGAATTAAAAAGAATTAGCCTGAAGATCTAGGCCAAGGGGGTCAAACTCAAGGCCCCTGGACCAGATCTGGACTGCGGGATGCTTAGATGGGACCATCCTGGAACTAACAAAGGCCTGGCTTGCGGGTGTCAACTCATAAAACATTCCTATCCCTGTTTTAGTAGTTGCCATTAAAAAAAAGGGGGCAGGGAGGACATCTGGAAGAGCAGTGCAGCGGTTTGGAAGCGGAAGTCCATTCCAACTCTTTATCTTTAAAAGATTGTAACTAAACTACCAGAGCTTTTGCCCGGGAATGTATTTAATTGGAGAACGTGATGGATGACGCCCAGCCTGTGAAGGTGCTCAGTTGGAGAATCTGATTTATGACACACCCGGGGAGGTGGAGAGGGGGGAAACAGGGTCAGAGGGGACTGTGACTGACGTATGCCAGAGTTGGCTTCATACAGGGCAGTGCAGGTATGTTGCCTCTAATGAATCTGGGAGGTGTTTCATTCCCCACTCCCTTCTTGCACTGATGGTGTTACCTAGTTTGGTCATGAAATGTCTGCAGGAAAGTAACTAAGCTGAAAGAGCAGCAAGGACCCCCCCACTCCTCCTCCTCTCCTCCTCCTCCTTCCTCTTCTCCTTCTCTTCCTCCTCCACCCTATACATCCCACTTCCTTCCAGCACTGATGACATTACCTAGTTGGGCCCTGAAATGTCTGCAAGAAAGTCACCAAGCTCAGAGAGCAGCAAGGACCCCACATTTCTCCTATTTCTCCTCCTCCTCCTCCTCCTTTCTCTTCTCCTTCTCTTCCTCCTCCTCCTCCTCCTCCTCCACCCTATACATCATCAGATGGAAGGGTAGACATTCCTAGGCCTGTTTCAGTAGTTGCCATTAAAAAGGGACAGAGAAGGAAATCTGCAGCTGTTTGGAAGCGGAAGTCCATTCCAACTCTTTATCTTTAAAAGATTGTAAACTAAACTACCAGAGCTTTTGTCCATGAATGTATTTAATTGGAGAACGTGATGGATGACACCCAGCCTGTGAAGGTGCTCAGTTGGAGAATCTGATTTATGACACACCCAGGGAGGAAGGGCGGGGGGGTAACAGGGTCACAGGGGACTGTAAATGACGTATGGCAGAGTTGGCTTCACATAGGGCAGTGCCAGTATGTTGCCTCATAATAAATCCTTTGAAGTTTTTTGAAGTTTGGCTCGAGAATCATGATTTAATTAGGGCGATTCCTGGAATCCTGACAGCGGGGCCTTTGCCAGAGAAAACGGAGTTTGGGATGGGTGGACTCCATTTCCGCTGGCAGAGGGCTGGCTGAAATTGGGTCCCCGAGTGGGGGGATGGGGGGCACTCCATTTTCGCTGGCAAAGAGCTAGCCCAAACACACA